CGGAGGGAGCAGCCATGAATCATGTGAGGGTTGAAGGGAAGCAGGGCCGCACGCCGGGTGCTCGATACGCGAGCGAAAGAGAGAGCGAGAGCGAGAGAGCGAGAGAGCGAGAGAGCGAGAGAGCGAGAGAGAGAGAGAGAGCGAGAGAGCGAGAGAGCGAGAGAGCGAGAGAGCGAGAGAGAGAGAGAGAGAGAGGGAGAGAGAGAGAGAGATCCATTAACCAACGTCATTATATCTTCTTACATTATAAAGAAACCTAGGCCTATATTTTAAAAAATCATTTTGTTATTGTATCCGCCTTGTCCGACAATCGACCGCGACCCAACCGATACCGTATTATGTTTACCAGGGAAGCAGAAATCCCCGTCAGCGAACAGCGAACGCACATGTTGACAGACCGTCGTGCATCTCCAGACAGGCGTTCTTGTCGGCCCCTGCTCGCTTGCCCCTTATTCTCTCTCTCTCTTTCTCTCTCTCTCCACACACAAGCCCCTAACCCCCCCCCCCCTCCCCTCACATTGGGCTCGCCTGTCACGTAATCAAACTGGCGCCTCGAAGGGACCCGCGCGCGGGACGACACGGGAAGGTTCTTCACCTGGCCAACTCAACGGGGCGGGGCGGGGCGGCTATGTGGGGTCGATGCGGAGTGGGGCACCCACCGTGCGTCTTTTTATTTTTTTCGTCGGCAGCACGATGGGCTGATGGGTAGAAGACGGCCCTGAGAGCAGAGCAGAGCAGGCCGTCCAGTCCGGGCGAACATAGTAAACGGCTTTAGTACAGCAAGGTACGCATATAGTGGAAGGAGAATAATAAAACAACTCAACGACACCAAAACAATGAAAGGATACTGTGCTGACTGCTGACACGTCAAACTTTTATAATATGTTCTACTCTTTTCATGTTTGCACTTTGGGAATCACATGACACTCCACTATCAAGCATGCCACCATTTCTTTGCCAACACCAACCGTCATTCGAAATTTGTAATTTCCATAAGGCATGATCAGAAATTTCGGAAACGTCCAGTCGATTGGAGTCTCTACCACTGAGAAAACTCCCTGGAAAAGAGGCATTATTCGGGTAAAGTCAATTCAACAACCAACGGCGTATGCTTGCCAGAGTCCTGGTCCCCATGTTGAACGCCCACACGGAAAAAAATGGTTGGTTGTGGCAACCGAAAGTCGATCGCCACGACCATTTCTCTCGATAGATACCAGCAGTATCGACTTTCTGATTGTGACAACCAAGCGGCATAGCTGCAGCAGGTTAGTTGCGACAACCGACGGGTTGATCGTGGCGATCAGAACCGCTAATAGCAGGAATCGAACTTTACTTGGTTGCAGGGAGTAGGTCTGTTTTACACCTCGTGGCTGCAGCTAAAAAGTTGATCGCCGTGATCGATTTGTCGTCTTGAAGGTCATACTAAACGGGCGTCAGTTGTTTTGTCTGATTTTTGACTAGAATTTATTATTGAAGTTTGAAATCAAGATCCTGCGATCCACTGAGGTCCGGCAGATATCAAAAATCGACAAGTCTCAACAATCGCCCTAAGACGATTATTTGTCAGACCCTTTTACAGGGTACCGTGGAGACGTCACTCGGGACACCCACCAATGGAGGCGACCGAAGGCCTCACCGCGAGGTAACAGAAATATAAGCGTATCTTGCAAATAATTAACTTATGGTTTTCAACAATCGAAATATAATTTCAAATGGTTGTTATCTTGGCGTAGGAAGGAGTTATTCGCGTCAAATGGTCGCGGGTGAAATGAAATTAAGGAAATAATCATTCCGGGTTGCGAAAGGAGTGCCACGCTGCACGTGATTCTGATTTCTACCGCTAGGTGGCGACAAGGAATAGTGGGCAACCCCTTTTCTCTCGCACGTCCCTGTAGTGATCGTCGACCTAGGTAAACGGCGCCGGGTAGTTACCACGAGCAAGCCACTTGCATGGGCACAGTCAAGTCAGAATGTAGGGTGGAGTTTGATTGTAGCGACCGAGCAGACCCTACGAAGCGAGTTGTAACACGAGAGGGAACCCAGCCGGCTGCCACAACCAAGCGGTTCGATGCCTACAACCAATTCAGTTTCAACCAGGACAATCTGGTCACCACGACCAACCCTTTTTTTTCCGTGCACACGGAAAAAAAGAGCTAAAAAAGTGACCGGCCAAAGTGTCTTAAAAGTGTAAAAAAAGTATACAAAAAGTGTGAAAAACGTTTGCCTTAAGTGTGGTTCCAATCTGTTATATTTTAAGTATACCTAATGTATACTTTTCACAAAAGTATACCCGAAAGTGTCATTTGGATATACTCATTTCCATGCGGGCGTAAGACGTACAAACAGATGCGCGCATTTTGTGCTTCGTGAAAATTCTGTTCCCAGAACCAGATCGTCCTTACTTTCACACCGGTCAAAATCTGTTACTGGTGTTATTGGAGGGTCAAAGTCTTTGACCGTGCTTGGAAAGAACTTTCTTCCTACTAGTACAGGTGGTCCAGAGACCCCCTCCTTTAATTTGCCTATACTGTACCGCATGGAGGCGTGCGGGCGGGCCTACCTCCCGCCTCCCGTCGCCCACAACGGCGCCTTACGGCCCCGTGCGAGTATGCAACCCGGCCCAAGGCCTGCATCCGGTACAGTATAAGCAAAATAATGGAAGGGGTCTGTGGACCACCCTGTATAAGGTACAATCCAGCCTACATGACTACACAGTACTGTTGTAATTTTTAACAGTGTTGTAAAGATGCAATCACACAAGAAAGGTGCAGGCTCAGGCTGACACAGATTTTACCTGACGGCATATTTACTTACAGGACCAATTGAGCAGGGAGCACCTTTAGGTTTCTTTTCTTTTCCAAAAAAAACGTTATAAAATCCGGGAGTGTGAACTTGCAGCGTGTTGCACGCCTTATCTCTAAATTCGAAGATAAACGCGTTTTCTTTCCATTGGTTATTAGACCGAGTATCCAGGTATACTTTCAACTGTAAGAACAAGTTGTTACTCAATTGAATGTTCAATCAGTGCACTGGAAACGCAAATGTGAGAATGTCGCTCACCTGCATGTGTGTGAATATCCATTCGTGCACTTAGAGGGGTAAAGGTGTGAATTTTTCCTTGAAAATTTACACGTTTACCCCTCTAAGTGTACGAATGGATATTCACACACCCGCAGGTGAGCGACATTCACACACATGCGTTTCCAGTTTAGAGCACTCTACAAAATAGTAGTTATCGACTGAGTATCGGTAAAAAGCTTATTGTAGATATAATGCATGTCGTTATGTTGGCTTAAAGTCATATTATGCCTTCAAATAAAACCCTTACGTAAACTGCCGATTCACTGCTTCGTTAAATTTATTCTTAGCGAATTTTAAACCTTGCATATTTACTTTGAATGGCATCGCCTTACCCAACATTTGTCATCAACCGGTCTTTCACTGGTCATGTTTCCAGTGAGGAGTTGCAGTTCATTTGGTTTCAGAGGATTGAAGTGAGTGGCTCGTATATACCATGCCCATGCGGTCTTGCGTTCACAGTTGTAAAACCGATCCGCGTAAGCTGTGTATGGGCCCTGGAAATAGCAAACGACTCCGTCAGCCAAAAGCCGGGAGTTGTTTTAATCGAAACTTCCGGCAAATACGATCGTATAGTTTCGCCATGGTCCATAGTATACATTTTACTTAAAGACTTTAAGACCTACATTTGTATCATCTGCTTTCAAAGATCGATTCTTGATTGAGAGTTTTAAGAGATCACGCGGAATGTTCCCGGCTTTCGTAGAAAACGGTGTTGATTAATTTTATCTATAATCGTTAAAATGGTTGAAATACCGTTTTAGGAGGTCTACATACGCAGGACACGGTGAGAAATAGTAGGAAGGTTTACAGGAAAATTTTCTTTGACGCAAAGTGTAAAACTACAATTTGAAAACGTAAAATTACATGCAGTACAAATTGACTTGAAAGTAAATGAGAGTAAAAAATGTGCCCTCGTAAATTTACAACTTAAATTATAATTCGAGTTTACAAAATTTTTGTAAATTTACGACGATATTTTTGACAACGGACTGTTTGGTTCGACACACGACGTCGCGTTACTACGCCGGGAACCAACACTGTTGGAAGTTTTTTCGTAATTTGACGAAAAATGTCCTGTTAATTTTTCTACACAAACTCTTCATTATTTTAAAGTAACGAATACATTCGTAAAATGACGAACAGTTTGTAACTCGGTTGTTGTCCTAAAAGAGCGGTCCTGTACATAAGAATTTTTTAAACAAACACTATAACATCCTGATTAATTGGCACTATTATATCGTGATGTTACGAATAGTTTGTTTTATACCGCTACGAACAATTCTTAACCGAAATTGACGAATAATTCTCGTCAATTTCAATAACAAACTATTCGTGACAGATTATTGTCGTGAAATGACGAAATTCATTAACAGTAAAGGTGTGTGAATGTCACACACTTGGAGGTGTGCAACCGTCATTCGTACCCACGGAGGCACAAGTGTGAATTTTCAAAAGTAAAATTCACCTCCCACCCCATGTGTACGAATAGGCTTTCACACACCTACAAGTGTACGAATGGGCATTCACATACCTACAAGTGTTTGAATTGGCATTCACACACCTACAAGTGTACGAACGGGCATTCAAACACCTACATGTGACCGACATTCACACACCTACAAGTGTGCGACATTTACGGACTTGAGTGTAACGTACCGCAAGCGAGTTGATGGCTTTCCCTTGGCCACCTGGCAGAAGTAGTGCCAGAGCCACGAGTGCGTACATCATCACAGCTCCTCGGCGTAGCGACAATAACCTGCTGCTGACTGCCGCGAGCCTCACGCTCAGTTGTGGAACGCGACCGCGGATCAAAACGTGTGTTGCGGCGTTCGACTCGACAGGACCCCGCCACATAGAGGCGTTGGCGTGCACAGCCTCAGCATCATTCCATACGATCGTTTCCTTCCAGGCTCGATTCGTCGGCGAACATTTCTGCTTTGAGTGACAACTGTCACATAGATAGGACAGTCGCGGATGCATCGATCGATACGCTTATGCAAATTGTTGCATGGGTTTCGCGTGCGCAAAAAGCGCAGAACGCGAAGTCTTAAGCTGAGAGGTCTCGTCGTGCGTTGCACCTAGAGTACTGGGCGGAGCACGGTGTCGCTGGAACACCGGGAAACCCAGGTTTTATACACGGCACAGTGTGCGAATACGGCTACACTGTAGACAGTCTTGCTTGAACGGTGGCCTTATTGTTCTCTGTACCAAATTTAAACCATTGAAACTACCGGCAATATGCCCCTCTCTCATCCCGCGGGGATTTTAGCGCCCCGATCGCCAAAAGATTTTTGCGTTCCCTTCGCTCGCCGTGCATTTTATTACCTCACTGTAGCTACGACTTTATGCGCTTCTATTACCTAAACATAACAGTTACGCATCAAATTTCGACCGCTGCTGAGCTCTCGCGCATGTAAACGATATAGAAGATCTATAGAAAAATAAAAGCACATTTTTGTCTGTCTCTTTTTGCGGGGGAATGAGCGGGATATATTTGTTTGCCCATGTACTTCTTAATACTGAGGAAAAATTTGGAGGAAAGTGCCATGAAATAAGGAAAAATGGAAATGAAACCATGTGTTTAAGACGACCAAGCATTTTTTGCGGGGGGGGGATAGTTGCCGTAAGTGTTCGCCAAAAAGGGTAGGATAAGCTGTCCCCTCCTGGCCAAAAGACGTTCCAACGCCCCTGAGACAGACAGAAAGACACAGTCAGACAGACACAAGGCCGTGTGTACAATCCCGCTGCATAGCTTTATCAAAGCAGAAGGGCGGGCTTTCAAACGAAGTTTTTCATACTCCCTGAGCTACTGTAAAAACAAAATTGCGTGCGGTATGACGCGATTTAAAATGTGGCCCGTGGCATGCGCCAGCGCCAGCGGTCGAAAGCGAATTTAATTAAACTGGCGATCTGATATCTGCAGTAATTGGGTTCTCTACAGCGCCCCGTGCAAGCTCGGTACAGAAAAGCGTGATTTAGAGTATTGCACGCATGGGCAGGTCCTTTATTTAAATCTTCAATCTCCAGTCGTGCGTACAGCCTTTGAAAAACGGGCTGTGAAAAAACCATTCTGTTCGATACATAACACATATTTAACTGAGGACATGCGGCGTTACGGCGTGTTACGGCACGTCATGCGCCAGAGTGAGGTGCGGAGCTCTGAGCTCTGAAAATCCAACAGCATGCATTGCACGCTGTAGATACTCCCTGGGAAGCCTAACTAGATAAGCACGGCGTTTTCTATGAGTATGATGGTGCACGTTTGCACAAAGGCATAAAGGGGTTCAGTGTTGTGTACCGATGTGCCTCCGCTCATTATGTCCATTCACGGTAAAAATTCCATTAAAAATGAGGCAAATTCCCAGAGAATCACAGGAGACTTCTTCAAAAGTGAGGGGTTGTCTTTCCCAGCCAGAAATGTTAAATCGAAACGACGTCGAAACGACGTCGAAGTCGACAATTCGTCGATTTAGGTGACAAAATCCCATCGAATCGACGTCGATTTTGGGTCGATCGATGAAATCGCCCAAATTTCGACGATGCATTTCTGGCTGGGTTTAGTGTGTGAGCGACACTTCCTCATATACTAATGGGCGATACCCCAACACACCAAGCTGCCTTTGCCCCAATCGGCTCGCAAGCGCGCATGGAAGCAAAGTGAAGGTCGCCCTAATGATGGGGGAGCGAACGAGAATCAGAAGCAGTATCGGAGGGGGTTTTCGTTTTCACTTGCGCAATACTGTGTACACTTTGTCCCGTAATACAACGTGGGGTGTTCGTCTGACCGAAACCCTGGTCACATATGATAACGTTTGACATTCTGTAACCTAAACTGTTCACATTGACGTGACACGTGACACAATATATTTTCCAGTGAACGCAACAAATAACGGTTCTAAAACACTCCAACTGTACTCTCTCTGCAATACTTTGGAGTAGCCGTACATGAAAGCAAAAGACAGTCTCCTGTGCATTATTATGCATAAAATTTGTGCATGGCTGTATAAAATTCTGCTTGTTTATGCACAGTGAGATTCATAGTGCGTAAGATTAGGCACTGACACGACTACACGTGCGCGACGTTAAAACACTTGCGTTTCGAGTGCATAGTCGTCTCAAACTCCCTCCTGACTCGTTTTAACGCACGTAGACGTAGACTCGTTGTTTCACCTATTTTGGGGCTTGGGGACCCCCGCATTTTTTTTGTACTTTAAATCCCTTTCAATCAGAACGATATATATATATATGTTATAATACATGTTTTTACGATAGGACCCCTTTTTTGTGAATCCGTCTGATCGCAGCACGTGAGCCGGTAAGCCCGTGTCAGCCATGACGGCGCGGCCGGGCGCTTCCTGTATTTCACAGTCCGTGGCCTAAGCCCCCGCCCCCTTCATTCACCCCCTCTCCCTCACCCCCTCTCCTCACCCCCTAGCACCCCATCCCCAACAGGCGCGCGCGCCGCGGAAGTCACTTTCGGGATTTGACACACAGGAAGTCGAGCCCCACCACCACCAACCACTCACTTCCATCATCAAAGGATAAACACCACGCGCCATTTTCTTTCCTAAATTTCTCCGATTATTCTCTCTCCTCCTCCTCCCCCACTACTTCCTGATCCTTCACCTCCACCATCTCCATCCCTCCCCCCGCCTCCTTCTCCTCCTCCTCCGCCCTTCTGACAGGGTTGAACCTCGCCCTACCATCCCGATATTGTTTTGTGCCCGCAATGTGTGCGGGGTGCGGGCGCGACGCGGTGGGGCCGGTCTGGTACCAGCCCCTCTCCCCCGCCACGCCCCGCCACGCTCCGCCACGCTCCGCCACATCCCGCCCCATTACCCGCGAGAGGGCGTTGGGGGGCCACTTCTTGCGAGCGCCAAAGGGGGAGCCAGGCGGAAGGAGCCACAGCAAAACGGTATAGGTGCACCGAACAAGTCACGCGGGGAGAGAGACGATAGGAGG